GAGACCCAGTCCCCGTACGCCGCAGGCACCGCGAGAGCGATGGGCTGTGCACCGGCCACGCAAAGCGCGCGCGTGGACCACAACCCGTAGCGAGCTCATCAGCCAAGTACGTATCGCCGCATTTTGCTGGCTCTCGCCGGCCATCCCCGCTGGCCCTCGCGGGCATCAGTAAAGGATCGCTCTCGTCGCACACGACAACATGAAACCGTTGATGTGCGAGTTCAGCGAGGTGCACTTCTCGATGCTCAACGTCTTCGAATTTATACATTTATACATTTATACATTTATACACTTATACATTTATACATTTTAAGGGCCGAGGGTCCCATGTGCTTCAAGGAGCTTGCCAGCGGCCCACTTGGTGGAGATCAGCAGCTTGGGGCGTTGGTCACAGAAGGTGGTGTGCAAGCAGTATTCTTCTTCCGTGATCCCTTAACCGCGGACGTTCATGATGTAGACATCCAGGCATCCATTCGCCCGCATATGCGATTGCCACCAGTGCTATTTCGCGACGAAAAAAGGTCTGCGAGGGTCTATCCCCAGCGTTCACATTTGAAGCAGATCCCTTTCGTTGACGAAGAAAGGATCGCACAAAGAGCACCCCCAAAAAGGTGCAATTCGCCCCAATCTTGAGGTTTTCTGAGCTTGTTTCTAGACCTCCATGCGTTTCTTCCAAGGGTGGTGCATATATACTCGGAGGAGGCACGGCTCGCTCAAGAGAGTCCCAGGATATCCCCATGGACCCAAGAAGCCCCTGAAGGGCTGCACAAATGCCGAATCGGGCCTTCGGGGGAGCCCAAGGCGAGCCAAGAGAGCCGTGCGACGCTGCCAGATGGCCACGAGACAGCCATCTGAGACCCCAAGAAGGCTCAGGATTGGCCCAAGCTCGCCTCGAGAGGCCTCAAGGGATACCCATGATGTCCAAGACATCTCCAAGAGCACCCACAGACGGTCGCCATCAAGTCAAGACATTGTTGACAAAATCGTCATGTTTTTGTCGTGGTCCATGCGTTCCACATTTCTTCCTCCCCCGATTCGGACAGACATCGCCCAAGGGAACCCCGAGCGGGCCACAAGGAGGCCCCAGGGGGGCCCAACAGTGCCGACACGTGTCTCTGGAGGAGCTCGTGACGGACCGACAGGGCCTGGCGACAGCCTAAGACGGCCCCACGCAGCTCAAACAGGCTTACTATTGCCCCACGATGGTTCCGAGAGGCTTTCAGAGAGCTTCAAGTTACCCTTCTTGCAGAGCGGTCAGCAGCCCGTCTGGGGAAAAGGCGATAGTGAATGAGGAGCCCAGCCTGCACTTGCCGAAACGAGCGAAATGGGGAGAAAGGGGGAGGAGTGGAGGGGGGGCAATCGCCCCCATTCGCCGGGCGGCGCAACGCCGCGCATCCCATAACACGTGAATGCTCCCCATTGTGCTGCCTAAGAGAGTTTCAGGATACTCCAAGACAGCGCCAAGAGCATCCCACAACTGCCAACATCATGCAGTACGTATCCGTGTTGTGTAGCGTGTAGCGTATGGTGTTGAAGATGTATCCCGTCAACATGTTTCCATGATTTCGTGTCAGAAGCTGCAATATAGTTTCAATAAGAAGCCCAAGCGGCCCCACTCGGAGGTGGATGAAGATGATGAGGACGAGGAGGCGGGGAGGAGGAGGCTGATATGGAGTGGGAGGGGAGGCTCGGTGCGGCCATCATGGTCCTGAATCCCTCTTTCTCGTATCGTCTTGCTACGTGCGCGGCGTCTGCCCCAATCTCCGCTGGCTCCCGCCTACCCGGAACGTTGCCTCAGGGCTAGAGTGGTGAGAGCAGGTGTCGTGCGGCAGGGAGGCTTTGTCTCGTCAGCCAAACCCCCTCCCCTCGCCTCCACCACCACCTGGGTGGCCGTGCGCCTGGGACCGACGCAGCTGGAGCAGTCGAGGTCACCTCTAGAGGCTCGAGGAGCCAAGCCTCAGCAGCTGGAGGCTCCGTGACATGTAGGTCTAGGGATGCCCTCCTCCTTTTCCTGTGCCGTACCGCGCATGGCGAAGACTCGCTTTGCGGGGGAGGGGGTGGGCTGGGCGCCGGGGGAGGGCCGTGAGGGGCACACTGATGCCACACCGTTGCCAACATCTCCCTCAGAGGCTCGGCCACGTGCAGAGGGAGGCAGGTGGATGGGGAAGACTTCTTAAAGAAGCACGCCTGCTTCTAAGCAGCCTTCCCCCCTCCCCCTAACCCTGGAAGGTCTTTAGAACCCCACCCCCAAACAAGGGGTAACTGATTGTTTTTATTTCCGGCGGCCTTATTGAAGGACTGGAGTCCCACCATTTGGGGGTAACCATTTGTTTGTTTCCCGCGGCACCCTTCAATCCTAAGGAGGAGGAGGAGGAGGAGGAGGAGGAGGAGGAGGAGGAGGAGGGAGAGGAGGAGAAGGGAGGAGGAGGAAGAGGAGGAGGAGGAGGAGGAGGAGTTTTTTGGACTATTCACCGCCGAGAGACAGGGTGGGAACCAAAACTAAAGACCTTTAGCGGTTACCCTTCTCTGCGCGCCGCCGAGAGATGGCCCGAAGGGGCCCGCGGGCCTGGCCCAGAGGAGGGGGGGCGCACTTGTAGGCGACGGCCCGTCTGGCGAACCTGGCCCGACGCCAACCAGTGCGCCGAAGTTCCCGCGCTGCTCCAGGGCCCCCCGAGAACATCTGGGGCAACGGCAGGGGGGGAGCGGCAGAGGGGATCGGCAGAGGGGGGGATGCATCGACCCATTATCGCCCACTGATCGCCGACAGGGGCCCGATAGCCCCACTCCGCCCAGGAAGGTGCAGATTCGCTATCGTAGGCCTATCGCTGATCCATCGGCGATGTATCGCCGATTCAAGGCCGATGCATCCCCCCCTGTGCCAGTCCCTCCCGATCGTTGCCCCTCAGAACAAAGAGGGGGGGACAGCGTACAGTCAACCCGATCAGTACGAATTCGCCTTGGATCCTTCCCCGTCGGCCCATCCTTGGCCACTGTCGCTGGCCGCGCTCCGCTCGCACAGTGTCGACATGGCCTTCCAAGGCCCTCGCATCTTCATCGTGCGTCCTTCTCATACGGGTTGACTGCACCGAACGTTCCGCGTTGTCCCAGCGTCCCCTGGGAACACAGGGGGGGACGGTGTGCCATTGTTGCAATCGGCGGCGAGCGAGGGGGGAGCGAGAAGGAGGAGGCCTTCTCAGAAGGCGGCGGGACTTCTCGGAAGGCCTCGGGCCTTCCGACAGGTTCTCTCTGCATCTTCGGGGGAGGCTCGGAAAACTTGAGAGAAGGCCAGGGGACTTCCGAGCCTTATGAGAAGGCCCGCCCCTTCTCTCTCGAAGAAAAAACTCCATAAACATAAACTTGTGGCGCTCCGCGCGGATTTCTTGGATCCGCGCTGGGCCCCCACGGCGGCGCCTCCGGCGCCGCCCCTGGCGCGCTCCGCACGCCAGGGAGGGGGGTCCAGCGCAGATCCAAGAAATCCGCGTGGAGCGCCAAAAGTTTATGTTTATGGTGGTTGTTCTTCTTCTATTCTCACTTCCCCCCTCGCTCGCCGCCGACAACCAGTAGACCGTACACCGAGCATACCACGTTGTCCCAGGGCCCCCCGAGAACACCGAAGGGGGGGCGGCCATGTGCTATCGACCCATTGACGCATGTGCGTGCAGGTCTCTGAGGACCCTCGTCGCCACCTCTCTTGAAAGGTCATCTCAGGGCTCGGGGGAGCTTCCAGTCTCCTGAGGCAGCGCTCCACGGCAATCCCACGAACCAGCCGCAGAGTTGGAGATTTCAGCCACCCTCGTACACAAAAGAAAAGAGGGAACCCTTCATTTCACTGTGGACGCTTGGAGCCGCCGTGCCTCGGTTGGATGACCGTTCAGTGGTCCCACTGAAGGGCGTCGGCACCGATAAGCCAATCGACTTCCAACGAGTATCCTCAAGCATCCTCCTTTTTTCTTTCCTGTGTTTCTCCATATCCTGTCCATCCGTATCTTCTTTGCCGTTTGTATCCCTCCATTCTAACCGCGCCGTTCTCCTCGTCCATATCCGCTTTCTCCTCGATTCCCTCCTTCGTTATTGCTGGTGCTTGTCCTTATCTGTTCCTTCTGGTCGTTGTTGTCGTGCTTATACCCGCACTGGCTCGCGCATTAAGGATATTGTTCCGCTCGCACTCTTCCCCTGGCTATCAATCCTACTCCTTTTACTCCTACGGCTCCTTCTACTGCAACTTCGCCTCCAATTGCTCATGATGCGACTTCTGTTGATCTTAACATACTTGCATGAGAAGGAGTATACGGACGAGGAATGGGAGGGACATGCAAAACATGATAATGATAACGAGCAGGATGAGGAGAAGAAGAGAAGGATCATGATAGTTCAGAGGAGGAGTAAGAGGCGGATCAGTCATAGAAGCTAAGGCGACAGAGAGAGAAGACAGAGGGAAGCGAAAGGAGGAGGATGAGGAGGAGGATAAGGGGAAGGAGCATGAGCAGAGGCAGTGGAGAAACCGTGGGATTAAGAAGAAGGAAGAGGGGGAACAACGAGGAGAATGGGAGGGAGGTGGAGCGAGAGATGGATGGGCAGAAGGAGAAGGAATACCTCAAGGGGGGGGGTCGATGGCATGCAGTCAATGTGCATAGTAGGATGAGCGACTTTCCAAGTTTACCCGTGCATCCTTCCCCTTCGGCCCATCCTTGGCCGCTTTCGCTGGCCGCGCCCAGCTCGCAAAGTGTCGACATGGTCTTCCAAGGCGCTTACATCCTTATCGTGCGTCCGTATCATACGAGTTGACCGTAAGTGGAGGAGGAGAGAAATAATAACATTAGAATTCTGGTCGTTTGTGACCCCGCGCCGGCGCTGAATGGCGTCCGAGGGAGACGTCCGTCCTACTTCTGAAGTTGATGCAACAGGTCGCTGCCCTGAGCTAGAACTTGAGCCCGCTCGAAGCACGCACGATGTGGCGCTAGCACACTGACTGTTCCGCGCGTGCCGCACATGACCTGGAGGCCGAAGAAGGCTGCGCCGAAGAAGGCCGCCGACCCGACGCTGCAGTGGATGAAGGGCTGGTCCACAGAGGCGGCGAGCGCGAGAGATGACTCACATCTGGGCTGCAAGAGCTTGGACAGAGTTGGAGGGGGAGCACCAGCAGGAGCAGAAGCTTATGGCGAAAAAGGGCACATATCATGAAACCAACTTCCATGTGTGCAAATGTATAGATGTATTCCCTTTTCAAAATTTTTACCATCCGGGCGGAACGCGAAAGGGGTCCCCCCCCCCAAAACCATACTCCCGAGATCAAGGGCTTTGGGACTCTCTGGACGGGCCTCGAAGCGGCCCCCGGGCCTCGCAGGGCGTTTTACCAAGCCTTCCCAGCACACCAAGGCGGTCAGGGGGGTCATCGGTGACGTCCCAGAGACCCCCAAGACAGCACAAGAGCGCTCCAAGAGTGACCGACGTGACTTCCAGATGGCCCAAGAGGCCTCCAGGACGTTCCCAAAGAGGCCTCCAAGAGCACTCCCAAGAAGGCCCCAAGAGGCAACAATCATTGATTATCTATTGGTTTTTGGTGAAATTGTGGGTTCTCCTCTTTTCGGCTTCCCGACGCTCCAGGACTGCGGTCTTCTGGGCGTCCGAAGCCGCCTGGGAGGCTCCAAAATCGCCCCACAACCCTCCGAAAGGGCTTCTGGGCAGTCCAAGAGAGCCCCAAAACGGCACAACACGGGTCCAAGATGGCCCTCAGAGAGCCCCATGGCGGCCCAAGATGGCCCCAAGACACCCTTCGAAGCATTCGAAATCGTGACCCGGTCGTTCAGGGAGACCGCGGTTGGAGGCAGGGTGGCCCGAGGAAGCCCCCAGAGGCCCCCAGAATACGCCCAGGAGGCCTCCAGAAGGCCTCAAGAAAGCCTGAGACAACTTTTGTGAGGCCCCCAGAGGCTCTCCAAGAAGGAGCCTCCGCAAAAAAGAGCTGCGGAGGATAGGGAGAATGCGCAGGGTATGGCGAAAATGAGGAACAAGAAGCATGGAGGAAGGATACCGAATAATATTATCATAGCGGCGATGCCGGAAAAGGCAACAAGGAGCTATCGCTAAATTGTCGGCTTGACCTTCCTGCTATTCCGCCTGCACACCAAATTCCAAGGACCAAGGTGCATGGCGCGAAGCGCCAATGCAGTCTTGTGTTCATATATGTATACGTATATCTATATATATGTGTATATATATATATACATGCGTATATATGTACGCATGTATGTATGTATGTACGTACGTATGTATGTATGCATGCATGCATGCATGTATGTATGCATGTCTGTATATATGCATACAGGAATGTATGGTTGCGTGTGCAAACATGCTGATGTATTCATGGTTTGATGCATGTGTGCATGAATGTCTGTCTGTCTGCATGTCTGCCTGTCTGTCTGTCTGTCTGCCTGCCTGCCTCCTGCCTACCTGTCTGCCTGTCTGTCTGTCTGTCTGTCTGTCTTTCTGTCTGTCTGTCTGTCTGTCTGTCTGTCTGTCTGCGGGTCGGTCGGTCGGTCGGTATGTATGTATGTATGCATGCATGCATGTATGTATGCATGTAGGCATGTATGAATGTCAATATAGTTATCTGCATGTATAAAGGGGTTAGTTCCCGGCCCATCCTGCCACCATGCCATGGCCTTGAGCCAGAATCTATGGAGGCCCATTTTGGGGGACCCTTGGGGCCTCCTGGAGGGGTCTTGGAGGCCTGCTGGAAGTCTGGAGGACCGTCTTGGAATTCCTCGTGGTGGCATCTGGTGGCGTCTTTGATTGCTCTCAGGTGGTCAGAGGCGACTCTCGGGCCGTGACGCTCTCCAGACCGCAATGCCCCGCATTTGAAAATTGTGCATCCGTCGTGCCTACCCGTGCTTTTTGGTCTCCAGGGGCCGGCCCCGGGGCCCCCGCAGACGGCCCAGGAGACTACCAAGAGCGCTCCAGGACGGGCACCTGGGACGATCCGCGCCCCCGCTGCCTCAGGACCAGGGGCGCGGCGAGCCCTGTAAACGAGCGAGGGCCTGCGAGCTGGGAGCCCGGCGCACTGAAGTTGCTTTTCCGATATTGCGAAGGCCTTACGGCCGTTGCCGCCGGCCCCGAGAGCGACGAAGATGAAAACGAGGGGGGGGGGCAGGGTGGAGGAGGTGGATGAGAGAGGAGGAGGGGGGAGAGAAAGATGTGGAGGAGAAGCAAGAGGAGGAGAAGGAGGCAGAGGTGAGCAGGGGGAGGGGGAGCAGAGGGGGGGGGAGGAGGAGGAGGAGGAGGAGGAGGAGGAGGAGGAGGAGGAGGAGGAGGAGGAGGAGGAGGAGGAGGAGGAAAAAGAGGAGGAGACCAGAGGCTTTCTTGGGACAGCCTGTGGCTCTCCTGAGGCCGTCTTGGGTCGTCCAGGGCTCTTCTTGCGCCGTCTCGAGGCACTCTTGGAGGCCTCCTGGGCAATTTGGGGCTCTCCTGGGCTGTCTTGAGCAGTTTGGGGGCCCCTTGGGGGCGCTCCTGGGCTGTCTTGAGCAGTTTGGGGGCCCCTTGGGAGCCTCTTGGGGCCTCTTGGGGCTTCTTCGGGGCCTCTTGGGGGCCTCTTGGGGCTGAGAGCTCGAAATGTCCGTTCGGGTCCCCCGTCTGGGCACGCTCCTGGAGCCGTCGTGGGGGCCTCTTGGGCCGTCTTGGAGGCGTCTTGGGCCGTCTTGGGGCCCTCTTCGGCCGTTAGGGGACCCTCTTGGGCCGTCTCGGGGCGATCGCGGGGGCCTCTTGGGCCGTCTTGGCGCGTCGGGAAGCGGAAGAGGCAAGAACGCCACAATCTTTCAAAAACGTATGGAAAATCCATGAATATTGCCTCTTGGGGCTCTCGTGAGAAAGCTCCTGGAGACCTCTTAGGGGCGCTTTGCAGGCCTCTTGGGCCGTTTGGAGGCCGTCAAGGCGTCTTGGACAGATCGTTCGTCGATTCGGGGTTCTCTTGGACTGTCTTTGGGGCCTCTTGGGGCACTCTTGGTCCGTCTTGGAGCTTTTTGGGGCTCCGGAACTCCCAGGGGGGGCGTCGTATCTGACCCCCGCCCGGGGCGTCTGACCCCCCCCCCGGGACCCCCCCCCCCGGCGGGGGAGGGATCGAAGGGAAGGGGCTTCCCTTCGACTCAATTACGACGTCGCTTATTTTCGCTTTGGCTGGCGCGCTGAGGAGGTCCCTGGGAAAGGGGGGAGCTTCGACGAGCCCAGGGAAAGGGAGGAGGCAGGGAGAGGGTACGACAGAGACGACGACCAACGAATGACGGAGATGACGACTTGAACGGACAAGCCCCTCACACACGCCGACAGGGTCGGCGGATTCAATCGTGCGGATGATTGAGGGCCCGAGAGAGCACTCCCTTGCTGCCCTGGGCGCGGCGGCGGTGGCGAGCCCTGGTAACGCCGACGACGACAGTGACCATGGCCGCCTGATGATGACCGTGACGGTCACGATGTCGGTGATAGTGTGGAATGTGGGGGAGCGGGGTGGAGGAGAGTTAAGATGCGGAGGAGGAGGGACCAGATGTGGGTTAAGATGTGGGTGTGCATGCCATTATGTCACGCGTTTGAGCTTGTCATTGTCCACGGTACGTTCCTTGACCCACCGTGCAGTGTTTTTGGAGCCAGAGCCATCGCCCTCGAAGAAGCATCGAGGGAAGTGGCCAGGCCCCCTTCTCAGAACAGGAAAAACACATAAACACAACGGGTTTTATTGGTTTTACGCCGGAAGGGGGCGTCGTTGAGAGGGTGCCTGGTACGGATGCGGGGATCGGGGTGGCGTCGGATTTTGGAGCTGGCGGTTTGCGTGGCAAGTGCGTTTAGCTGACCGCATTAGTTTGGAACGCGTGACGGGTGGAAAGGCCGCTCACTAGCAATTGGCAGTCCTCTGCCCGCGTGCCAGAACATATCGTCGCGCGCTCGCAACGGGGTGCTCGAGTCCTAGAGCACCAACGGCTGCAGTTGGTGCTCTAGGACTAGAGCACCAACGGCTGCAGTTCGAGCTGTTTGCGCCGCGACAAAGTGTAGCAAAGAACCGTGAGAAGTTGTTGTTCTGCTCTCTCTCTCTCTCTCTCGGCCAGCCGTCGCACGGCAAACGCGTCATGGTTTCCTTTCTCTCGTCTCCGGTCCCTTATCCTCCTTCGGACTGCAGTCGCTCATCCTTCCCCCCCCTCTCCCTCTCCGCCGACTCCTTGTCCTCCTCGTAATCCCACCTCCTGAAGATTTAGTGTCGCATCCCTCTCAGAGGCCCCTGGAGGTTCCGGCGGTGCCCAGAGGAGGCCCAGAAGCGTCCAAGAGCTTTCCTGCCCTGCTTCTCCTGCTTCCTCTTCTCCTTCCCTCCAGGCAAGCGCGGGGTTGCGTTGGTTTGCCGTTTGGCTTTCCAGAGGCGGGAAGGGGGGGGATTGTCATGCTGGTGACAGGAGGGAGGGGAGGAGGAGGAGGAGGAGGAGGAGGAGGAGGAGGAGGAGGAGGAGGAGGAGGAGGGGAAGTAAGGAGGAGGAGGAGGAGGACAAGGAAGAGAAGGAGGAGGAGGAGGAGGAAGAGGATGGGGAGGATGAGGAGGATGAGGAGGAGGAGAAGGAGACGGAGGAGGAGGAGGAGTAGGAGAATGGAGTAACATGAGGAGGGGGACGAGAAGCAACGACGAGAACGGCGGGGAGGAGGGTAGGATGTTGGAAAAGGGGGTGAATGAGGTGGAGGGGGGGGCGGTAAGAACGGCAACCAGGAAGAGCAGGACGAGGAATGAGGAATAGGGAGGAGCAGGGGGATGATACGCCAGGTGTGCAAGAGGGAGGAGGATGAGGAGGAGGAGGAGGAGGAGGAGGAGGAGGAGGAGGAGGGGAGGAGGAAGAGGAGGGCGAGGAGGGCGAGGAGGAGCTGCAGGTGAGGTTGCAGGGGGATATGGGAGAATATAACTAAAACACAGGAGGGAGGATTATGGTTAGCCCGAAGGACAGGAGGAAGGGCGATCCGTACACCCTTAGCTGCAATGTGCATGCGAATCTGTTGTTTTGTTGCATTCACATGTTTCATATGATGTTGGCGTCCTCTTCTGCATCCGTGGGACGACGTCTGCACTCGTACGTCGAAGTGGACTTCCCATGCCACCCTTGCGCATCCTGTCCACAACCTTTACGCATCTCTCACCTGGGCGTATACATTCATAGCTTGGCATGCGCATTTGCGTGTGTGTGTGTGTCCCCTTTGGCTGTAATCAGGCATGAGCCTGGCTTGACCTGGTGTTAGAGTCTTGTCCTGGACTCGAGGACTAGCTTCGCGGCTCCCTCCGCCTTCTCCACCTCCGATGGGAGCGCATGTGGGTCCAGGCTCGGGCGAGGCAGATCGGTGTCGGTGGAACGCCCGTGCGCGAGGCGTCGCCAGACGCCCGAGATGGCCCAGCGAAGAGCGAGGAGGACCCCTTGAGGACGCTGCCGTGCGCGCGCTCGTTTGTGTGTCATCGCGGCCCTGTGCAGTGTTGGCTTGCCACGCGGGACGAGCAGGGACGGTCGCAGGATGATTGGCAGCCCCGACGGAGCCAGAGGATGAAGGGGTACGTCTGGGGAGCAGGCGGAAGATGGGGAAGAGGAGCGGCAGCAGGAAGAGGAGGAAGAGGCGGGGAAGGCGGAAGGAGGCGGAGGCGGAAGGAGGCGGAGGAGACGGAGGAGGAGGAGGAGGAGGAGGAGGAGGAGGAGGAGGTGAAGGAGGAGCAGGAGGAGGAGCTGCAGCAGCATGAGGAGAAGGAGGAGGAGGTGGAGGAGGAGCAGGAGGAGGAGCAGCAGCAGCAGGAGGAGGAGGAGGAGGAGCAGGAGGAGCGGGACCAGGATCATGAGGTGGAAGGAGGAGGACGAGCTGCGGCAGCAGGAGTCGGAGGAGAAGGGAGAGGAGGAGGAGGAGGAGGAGGAGGAGGAGGAGGAGGAGGAAGATGAGCAGGAGGAAGAGGAGGAGAAGGCAGAGGCAGAGGATGAGGTGGAGGAGGCGCGGGAGAAGAGTGCGCAGGAGCATTGGCGGCCGGGAGAAGAACGAGAGGGAGGAGAGAGAGAGAGAGAGGAGGGGAAACCGGAGGAGGAGGACGAGAAGGAGGAGGAGGAGGAGGAGGAGGAAGCAGATGAGCCTCTCCTCTCTAACGCTCTTCCCCTCTCCTCCCCCCTGCGCCGCCCCCCACCCCAAACACGCCGCCCGCCCACGCTGCACTGCGAACGCCATGTCACCCCGGTTGCTCACGCGCCAGACAGCGGGGGGGGGCCTCCAGTGATACGGATGAGTTTTGGGCCAAGGCGGGGGAGCTAGGTTTTAGGCACCCCATCTCGTTGGGGGGTCCTCGATCCCAGGTTCGTGCTGGCCTCGGGAGCGCGGAGTCTAGAGTACCTGCAGGGGAGTTGTGGCTGCAGGAGCGCGAACTTGGCGTAGGTTACGAGGGATTGCCACTTCGGGAGCGCGATTGGTGTGTAATGAAAGAATTTTGAATGGGGTTATGGACTCGGGAGCGCGAACCTGGAGTAATGGTCTAGGCGTTGCTGCCTCGGGGCCTCGGGGGCGCGGACCTAGTGTAAGTCGCAAGAAATGGGAGATGTTTGTCTGGGGAGCGCGTGCCTGTTCTTTTTTTCACATGTGCCAGCCCCCCCCCCCAGGAGTTCAGAGCACGCGCTTTGGGGATGGTCAGCGGCCGCTTTTCGGGCTCCTCCCCTCACGGGGTCTTCAATCATTACGACAGTAGAGCTAACAGGAGAAAGAGAGCACATTAATAACTTTGGAGCTGGAGCTGGAGCTGTCGCAGGGAACTGGAACTTCTACCCCTCGCAGCCTGTTGGCCCGCAAGGGGGCCAGCGGATTTTACCCAGAAAGGGTTCCAGGTCAGTGTGGTATTTGCGTGGGCGGGTCGCGCCTTGTTTGAGGACACCCTTCTTGTGTTACAGAGGTCCGTCCCCGTCGCAGCCCTCTGTTGCGCACAGCGCCTCGTCCAGGATGACGGAGCCACCTGCCACGCTCATGGACATCCGCGAGGAGATCCCTTCGGACACCCCGGAAACGTTCCTTGCCTACATGCAGCGCGACGTCAATTGCCTCGGGGAGGACCTTGCGCACGGGGCACTCTTGCGCGTGCAAGCCCGTCCTTCCAGCTGGGTCTGTACTTCGGTGCATTGCACCCCTCTCGTACCCAGAATCTTGCGCAGCGATCCTGGCTCAGAAACAATAGAAACTGAGCGGATCTAGGCAGGTGCACAGCTGGAAATGAGCAGCGCATGGTAAGCCACAGTCGGACTTTCATCTAGACACGTTTGCGTAGTTTCCGTCCTCCCTGGCTTCGGCAGTGGTTTTTGGTTTGCCAAGTGCTAGCCGTCGGCAACGTGGCCCATCACGCGCTGGGAGTGCACGGTAAAGATCCTAGCGAGCCTCCGCCGCGCAATGCTATTCATTTGTTCACATGATTTGATTATCCACGCGCGTCTGGCCTCTCTTGACGCACCTTGTCATTTCCCCAGTTGGACTGAGTCACTGAATAGTTCGAGGGTGCCTGTAGTCCAGGGTGTGAGTTCCTACGGTCCAGGGGGGGTATGTGTAGACAAAGGGCGACTTCTACATCGGGGGTTACCTGAGTACCTGCAGTTCGAGGGGGAACTGTGGTCTAGGGGGGGCTCCCGCCGCCTTGACCCAATGGTGTTTGTGTTGTTTTCATTCGGAATGTATAGAGTATAGCTTGAACTCTGCACTCCCTTGCTCTTGTTGCTTACATCAGCACTCACTATCGCGAACTCAATGCTTACCAGGAGATGCGGACCCCGCGTGCTCCCTCGGTGACCTTTCGGTTACATCTTGAACTCTTCACCTTTGGGACGCGGCCTGAGGGGGGGAACTGCTGTCCTGAGGTGTCCTGTAGTTTGCCCAGTGGGCCTGTGCACCTGTAGTCCAGATCTGCAGTGGAGGATTGTAGTGTATCTTTCTGTCGCTCCACCCCCCATGGGCGTTCCGTCTCGTCCACTGGTCCCTCCTCAACTCTTTCTCCCTTGCACTCCTCCACCTACTCTTCCCTCCGCTCCGCGGCCATTTGGGCTCAAGTCCGCTGTGCACTTGGCCCCGCGCTCCTGGACACTGTCACTCGGCCTTCCACCTGCGGGGCTGTTGTTGCCGGGCTCGGAGGAGCGGGTTCCATGCTCCGAAGCAGCGGTTCGGGCTGCGGCCCCCATCGGGATGACGGTGCGGCCTGGCGTGGCGGCACCATTTTGTCCGTCGCGGCGTGGCAGAGGCGATCCGCTCGCGCGTCGAGCAACCCGGGTTACGGCGTGTTCGATTTGTCCCGCATGCAAGAGGGGGGAAGGCCAGAAGAGGGCGGCCGCGGAGGGGCAGGAAGGGATGGGGAGCGCTCTCACACGGCGGCGCCGCAGGGACCGCGCGGGGCGGCCAGGCTGTGGGGCAGCCCCTGGCAGCGCGTGGCGGCACCACGGCGGTCGAGGAGTTGCAGACGACTGCGCCCTCCGCCGTGCCCAGCGCCGAGCTAAGGGGGGGTGCGGCAGGGCAGCGGACGGACGGGGCGGCGCGCTGCTGCTGGCCGGGCGGGGATCAGCCGCGGGCGTCGCTCCCCGTCGCGCGGCGGCGGGGGTGGGCGCCCATCTCCGGGAGGCGCAGCTGCGCGACGAGGCCGCGACCAACATCTTTGCTGGCGAGCCCGGCGTCACCGACCGCGCTGGCCGCGCTGGCTGCCAACCACGGCTCGGGCTGGCGGGCGCGCGGCAGATGGGCGCGCGGCGTTGCGTGCGCGCCGGGTGAAGCGTCCGGGGCCGCTGGGCTGAGGAACCTGAATCTAAGTTGCCCGCGTGCGGACTGCTGTGCGTTTGCACTGCATGCTCGCCCTCCATGCCGGTGCATCCGACCGACTTCGACGCGAGCTCATTCGCTATGGCGGCAGATACGGCCCTCAAGCGCGACCAGGGGGGTGTCGCCCCTGGGTCACAGACCCGCGGTGATGGCGCGCGCAACGGCAATTCTAGAAGCGGTGGTTGCAGTGAGAATGGCATACGACCCTGTGTCCTGCTGGAAGCTTTGCAGATCGGTGCTCCCGCTCGGCATGTTCGGATGTTCTTGCTCCGCGTGCCTCGGAGCTCTCCATCTCGTCGTGTGCGAGTGCTTGGCCGCTGTCGGTGACTCACCGTGCATCTTGGAGCCGCGGTCTTTGCCGCATGCTTCTCAGCGCCGCCGAGCAGCGCTGTACGCAAACAAGAGGTGGACGAGCTCACAGATCTGTTGTCTGCTCGCCGACACGTTGGGAACGCACGGGCAGAGGAGTCTCGCCGGTTGCCGACGCTCTCCGTGAGCTCAGCGGCAAGATCCGTGTGGCGGGCCATCGCCAACACCGACGAGGGCGGCGCTATCGCAGACGGCACCGCGCCCGCGGAGTCTGTGTCGCCGCCCGCGCTCAGGTCCTGGCTGGCCTGAGTCCGCTTGCGCTGTGCTTCGCGCCCTCGACGGCACTTGGATAAGCTCAGGCTTATCCATCATCCTACTTGTGCCACTCCTCTCACTCCTACTCTGGTGGGGCAGGTGGGAACCTCCCATTATCGCCCGCGCTCCCTCTCCATCCTTACTTTGCTTTCTCCTTATCTCCCTCATTTCTCTCCCATGAACCTTCCCTTTTCCGCTCCTCCTTATCGCTGTTCATCTTCTCTGTCGTTTCGTCCCCACACAGCATGTTGAGGCTGTTAAGTGTAAAGAACAGGAATTCCGGGCTCACGTCGCACACCCTGCCCGCAGGGCCCAAAGTGTGTTGGTGCTCCTTGGGGATCCCGCCTCGCGTCTTTGATAAATGACGCATGCCGCGGCCGCCAGGCCGAAAGCGTGCCGGTGCTCCTTGGGGATCCCGCCTCGCGTCCTCGCGCCATCCCTTCCCCCACCTCTTTCTTTTTCTCCTTCCCTACCGAAAGAAAGGCGCTCGGGACGATCGAACTGGGTACGGAAGTAATGGGTCAGATGCCCAACAGCAGTTCTTGTTCATTTGAATAAGACTCGCTATCCGCGCCGCCACGGACGTTTTCCATTCGAGACAGAAGGCGGCCTGCGCGACAGCGGCCGCTGTCGGTCTTGAGCAACATTTGTTAGGCATCGTATCCATTGTTTCCGGACGTGCCCATTTCGGGCGTCCGACGGCGCGGGCGTGTCTTGTGGTGTCCAGGCAGTCGCGAGGACGTCGTGCGGGGTCGCGCCAAGGGCCGCCAGCAGCGACCGCTCGGTCAGCAGTTCCTTTCCATGCCAGGTCTGCTGTGCCCTCCTCCTCCTCCTCCTCCTCCTCCTCCTCCTCCTCCTCCTCCTCCCCCTCCTCCCCTGCGCTGTCATCCGCCCTCCTCATCCCTTCCCTCCTCCTCCCCGCGCTCGCCACCCCGCCTGCCCGTCGGGTCCTCCTCGCGCCTCCTCTTCCTGCGCCTCCTCCCCGCAGCCGTTCTGGCCCGCGCCGCAGCCGAGCCCCTCGCGGCAGGAAGAGTCTCCCCCCCCCCCCCGAAAGGCCGCCCGCGGCCAGAACCATGGCCCGCTCCAGCAGCCCCCTGGCCGCCGCGCTCCTGGCAGCCGCCGCGGTGTGCCTCGGCGCGCAGCTGTTGGCCCCCGCCTTCCTCCAGCCGAGGCCCGCCCGCGCGCAGGAGGTCGACCCTGCCCTGGCGGGCGCCATCGCGGGCCTGATGGCGCTCCCCGGCGACGCGCTCGCGGAGGGAGGGAAGATCCCAGGGGCCCCCCTCGCGGGCTCGCCGGTGTGCCTCTCGAAGCCCCTGGTGTGGCTCATCTACCCGCTGTGCGACCTGGTGTTCCTGACCTCCCCCATCTACCTCGCCCCCGTCCTCTTCGTCTTCTTTGGCACCATCGTCACCGCCATCCAGCTCGTGCTGCCAGCCACCCAGCCGGACGAGGACCTGCGGGCCTGAGCGGCCAGGCCTCCGCTCCCGGGCTTGGAGCTCGGCGGCTGGTTGGGAAGAGCCGCTGCTCCCACCCCCAGCCCAGCCCCGCGCCGGCCGCCTGCGCCGTGCGCTCGGGTGCGTTTTTGGTGAAGAGATTTTCGCGGCGGCCGCGCGGATCGGATTTCAAAAACGTCTCTGTCTGCTCTCCTCTGGCAGGGCTAGGGCGAGGACGATTCCGTTCCAGAGCGTTCCGGAATGCTCAGTGCGTTCCGGAACGTTCAGTGCGTTCCGGACCGCTCTGAGAAGGCCGCGCCGCCCGAGGCATCCTCCAGATCCGCCGGATCTCAGAGGTTCTCGCTATATATCCTCACCAGAATTCATCCTCGTCGTGGCTTCGCCTTTAGCTCCTCTTCTGGAGCCTGCTTTTCGGGGGAACACGTGTGGGGCCTGTTTGCGGTGGGGCCCACGGAGGGGCCCCAAGGCCCTCTCGTGCTCCCCGCTCTCGCCCATGCGAGCGCCGCCGCCGTCGAACGTCTGCGGAGATGCCGCGCAGGTGCTGGAGACCGACCCGCAAGGCCTGCACGAATCATCGAGGATAAAGGAGCCCCTGACCCTGATAAGACGATGAAGATGTAGCCTCACCGAGGTTCCCGTCCTTCGCATCAGGGATCATAAGTTTGGGCGGTTTGGTTTGAACCATCTGCAGAAAAAAAGGCCCTCTTTATCCCTAATTTTCCGGCTCTCCTATATTAGAATCCCTCCCATGAGGTTAGGGCTCCTTTTATTGCTAATTAACAAATACCACACAGGCCTGCACATCCCCTGGCCCATGGTGTATCTACTTCAGGCCTTGTGGTTCTTTTTATTGAGCCCCGCCTGAGACGGGGAGACACGGAAGCACAGAAACAAGTAAGCGCTTGAAACATCGCGCCAGCAAGGGCTGCATTGCGGTCCGCAAGGCGTGACACTGCGTTCCATGGGCCCGACATGCGGAGCCTTTCCTCGGGTCGGAGTGCATCAGGACCCTTGTTTCGGCGTGAAGAGGGGAAGACGGAAACAGGAACACCTCAGACATCGCACCGCGTCCGCAAAGACAGAACCCCGCAAGGCTTGAAACGGTACTCAAGCATGGGCCCGATTGCGTCAGTATTCCTTCGGCGCGAGGGGGAAGACGGGGAAACACGGAAGCAGGAAAAACGCCGCAGACACCGCACCATGCCGGCAAGGACCAACACAAAAATCGCGGGGCCAAGTATGGATCCCATCTGCCATAACCGAACATCGGCATATGGAGCAGTTGGGGGGCCTTGCGCGTGGCAGCTGGCGTCATGCCCGCGCAGGTGTGCGCCTCAGCCCGCGCCTCTGTCGTCCTGGCTCGCCCACGACGTGGGCCTCCAGAGAGCGTCGGGGAGCCGAAAACGCGAGAACCTCCAAACCCGTCAGTCCCAATGGAAAGGCTATGGCTTGTTGCCTCTTGGGGCTCTCTTGGGAGGCCTCCTGGAGGCCTCTCGGAGGCCTCTTGGAGGCCCGGCCCCAGAAAGCCGCCTCGCATCGGGCGGGCCGCGGCACCCCGGGCCCGGAGAGGCCCGAAGACGCCCCCCGTTCCCCCAGCGCCGAAGCCACGAGGAGAACGCCCATGCGCAGGACGACCATAATCAGAGCGTGAATTACCTACCCCGCTTTCGCTTCCAGGCAAAACCAAGTCATACCACGCGCCTCCTCGTCAAGCGGCCTGACCAGTACAGGCCGTAGTTTGGCATCGTTTGGTATCTCTTGGAAGCGAGGGTGGTCAAAAGCGAGGTAGGTTTGTTTTCCCCCTACATAAGCAAATCTGTTCCATAGCGTTCCGGAGCGCTCTCAGAGCGTTCCGGAACGCTCTGAGCAGGCCACGGCGCCCGATGCGAGCCGCCAGATCTCAGAGGTTCTCGCTGTGTCCTATAACCCGAAGTCATCCTCGCCGTGGCTTCGTCTCACGTGCCTTGATTTGGGCTCGGGTGTCCTGGAGCGCGCGGCCCTCTTGGCGTTCCGCATTCGTGCCAGGCCGCGATGCGTGGTGCCCAGCGCGGAGGGCCGACAGAGTTGCGCCGACGACGGCGACGACGACGACGACGACGACGGCGGCGACGACGGGGCGACGACGACGACGACGCCAGCGATGTCCTCGGTGGCGGTGGTGTCGACAACATCGACGTTAAGGATGTCCACAACGGCGACGACGCCCACGATGGCGTCCAGGGTCCACGGCACGACGGCGACGTCGACGACGAGGACGTCGATATCCACGACGGTGGCGATCGGACGCAGAGCGTTCCGGGACGCTCTGAGATGGTCGCCGCGCCCGAGACATCCTCCAGAGCGGCCAGATCTCAGAGATTCTCGTCACCCGAGTTTGTCCTCACCCTGGCCTCGTCTCGGGCGATGACGCCCGTGGCGCGCACCCCTGCCTCGCCGCGCCCGGCAGAGGACGCGCTGGGCGTGCGGCTGCAGTCCCTGCAGAAACTCGAGAGGAGGGGTGGGGGACCCGTGCAGGGCAGGCCTCACTCGAAGAACAGGGGCTCGAGGGGGTCGGACGAGGATAGATCTGTTCCAGAGCGTTCCGGCACGCTCTCAGAGCGCTCCGGAGCGCTCTGAGAGGGCCGCGGCGCCCGAGGCATCCTCAAGAGCCGCCGGACCTCGGAGATGTTCGATTTATCCTCACCCGAGTTCGTCCTTGTCCTGGCTGCGTCTTCGCGCTCGAAGAGCAGAGGCTCGATAGGGGGACGACGGCAGCGGGGGGGGGGATCGAGGGGGGAAGGGCAGCTCGAGGGGAGGTGCGCTTCTGCCTGCCTCTGGGGCGGCAGGGAGGGTGGCGGGGGAGCAGCCAGCCTCGAGCTCGTGAGTACTTGACGAGTGTCGACGAAACCGACGGGCGGGCAATGGGGGCGAACCACCTCCTGCAAGTTCCAGGATGCCGAGCGGGCCTGGCGCGTGGATCCACACGCTTACTCTAGTAGTATAGTGATCTGGTGCAGTCAACATTAAGCTTGCGCCGAAGACTGTGTTGAGCGTGCGCAGTTTGTTGTGCGGTTTCGACCGCGGCTTCCGCGCTGTCCTCGCATATCCTGTCACGCTACTTCGTGAACCTAGCATCACCATCTTACCGTTTCTTTTTCGTAAGCCTGCAGATCTCTCGCCAGGATCCCTGCGGATTCCCACTGTTTCCGCGGGCGTTTCAAGCGTCGCGCAGAGCATGGCGACGTGAAGGCCCGAGGGGCCACTAGGTGGCAGCGTGCGTGATTGCATTGCGACGCGGCAGGAGCTTTGAGAAGGTATCGCGGGTTCATTGAACATCCCCGTAAAAGCTTCATGAAATCATGAGAAATTTCTTGGTATCCTTGAGGCATCAGGCATGCCGCATGCATCAGAAATCCATTGTGATTTTTACAGGAATTGTTTCCTCCGGGAGTCTTGAGGGATGCGAGCGGAGTCCCGGGTTTTCCCTCTTGCAGAAGTCTGGAGGATTTCTTCGAGATCCTGGTGAGAAATGGAAGAGCTTTTCGGGAATGACGTATCTAGAGTAAGTTCTAGGTCTTCAAAAGAATCCTTCCATGGAGTCGTGGAAGAACCATATAGTTTCCAGCAGTTCTGAGGAATCGTGGCGAGCCCCTGGCGGATCCTCAGGAATCCTTTCGAGGAGTCCAAACTAATTTTTTGAGGCGCCGAAGAATTCGAAGGATTCCTGACAGATGTTTAATGTTTTTGCGGAGCACCGAGGGATCCCGAGGAAATCTACAGATCCTGCGCAAGCCTGACAATTCAATCGGAAGCCTTTGAGACTTCGCAGGAATCGTTGCGGAATCCTCGAGGATCGTTGAGGAATCCTTGTGGCTTCCTAGGCGAATTTCGGATGAATCTTGTGGAACGCCTAAGGGATTCTCGGGAATCCCTTGGGAATTTTCCGAATCCCTGAGGCAGCCATGAACCCCCTCCTCCTGAAAATCGTTAGGACTTCCTTCGGATGGCCGAGGAGCTTCGAAGATCTCGATCATTTGCGAAATATATGGTGCCCTGCTGTTAGTTTTCGCGGATAGTTGTTCCCACTGCGTCGCGTCGTATTGCAACGCGACGCGTTGCAACGGTTGACTATCTCGCAGTCCACGAGGGTGCGAAAGCAGAAACAAGTTGCGACTGTCCCGCCACAGCTTGTGGGCTGGATCAAACCCTGGAGCCTGTGCAGCGGATGGAGCGGCAGCAAGGGAAGTCTGTATGGCCCCGATCTTCCGGGTTCCTCCAGCATCCAACTGCTGCTGCGGCTCCCTTCGTGCTGTTCGTACTCGTGCATCTCCCCCAGCTGCTCCTTCTGCGCGTCCTCTCCTCTCCTCTCCTTCGCCTCCCCCTCCCCCTCCACTTCTCCCTCGTCCCGTGCCTCCCTTTCCCCCTCACCCCCAGGCCAGGATCAGGCGAGCTCCTCTGCGAGGTTCCCGCGGGTCTCTCTGGCCCAATCCTGGTCATGTCTGGGCGAGCTGCGGTGGGGGAGCTGGTCCGGGAGGCATCCGTTGCTCTCTGTCGGAGGCTGCTAGACGGGTTCGTTAGACGAGGTTGGTTTCGCTAGACCGAGACCGAAGGACTCCCCAGCCCGACCTGAGGCCCCCAGCTCGACCTGAGGCGCCCCAGCAGCCGTCAAACTCACCCTTCTTGGACCAGACATTCTCGCCGTACTCGTTTCATTCTTTCTCACCTGCGTTCTCTCTCCTGGCCCATACACCCATACATCCTCTTGTATCGTTTTGCTCCCCCCCCTTGCCCTACCCCTCCCCTCCTTTGTCCCCACCCTTTCTCTCTCGGCTAACGCGGACAACTAGTACGTTGTGCGGTTGTGTGATTGTAATGCGCTCAGGTGCTCTCGATTATGATTTGTCGGTTGTCCGTGGCCACCGCACACTGGCAACGACAGGGTGCAAGAGGGATGGGAAGGAGGAGGAAGAGGAGTGACAGGGTGCTGGTGGGCCGAATCGACGACCTGTCCACAGACATCGTGGACGCCGTTCTGGACGCGCTCTTGAAGCCACTCCTGAAGAGATTCAAGGACAGCTTGACAGCGACTGCGCTTCTGAGCAAGCATGACCCTGCATCACCATGCAATTGCGACGAAGCGATGCGTGCGAGGAGGATGGCCAGGATGAGGAGTACTGGCGACTCTTGGACAACGGAACGTGTCATGCCGACTGTGTCTATTAGTCGAAACGTGTTTATCGGAAGTTGGTGGTGGTTGTGCACCATGCAGATTCGTTCCGCTTGTGCCTGCGCTGTTCGGGACAGACTTGCGCCCATGTAACCAGCACAGACCCTCACCCCCAGCTCCGCTTCCTATGGACCCTGGCAGGGCCTGATGGAACTGAGGCTGGTGTTTGCCGTATTGTTGGCCCCCTGGCGGGCAGCCTCTTCGCCCGTGCATTCCCTCTGGTGGGCTCTTGCGGGACTGAGGGTGGGTGTGCCCACTCTTGTTTTGAGCACGTGATGTTGTTCTAAATTTGTGCTTAACTAAGTACAAGTATATCGTCGTCCTTGCCTGCGTTCCCCCGCATGTGGGACTGACGTTTGTTAGCATCACTTTGCACACGACATCTATGGCCCCATGCCCCCGCTCCCTTCCAGGAAGAAAGGCGAGGCTGAGGGCGTGCGGTCCCACCATGTCCCTGGGTTCAACATTGCCCCGCCATGGGAGGAGCCCTGGGAGATGGGGTGAAGAGTGTATTTGTTTGACCTGTACCGTCATGCATCGCGGTTCTACGCCATTGCGAGCTCAGGAGACTCGCGATCGCGAAGCCGTTCGGGTCCCTCCCATGATGAGGTGTTAGTTGGTTTCCCCCCACCGTGTTCAGCTCGCCCGTGCGGCATTCCATCATCAATGCAGCCAAGTGCTAGGGTGGAACTGGTAGAACTGGCACTGCGACGCCAGTGTGTGTTGTGGAATTGCGTACTCTATGCGTTAGTACGGCAATGGGCGTTCGAACAGTTCGTGCATTCAGTTCGTGCGTTAACATCCACGGAACCAAGGCCCATAATAATCGCATACCTTTGTGACTTACAAGGGAGGAAGGCTACTGCCTGTACGCACGTCCGTGCCATTCCATCGTGGACCCCGCTCCCACCTTGTCGTGAGCGAATCTGGCGGAATAATGAACTGGTGTTTTCTTCCTGGCTCGCGGCTCTTCACGACCTCGTCATAGAGGTGGTTCGTGGCCCGTCTTGGCTCGTTGACCCTTCGTTACCCTCTTTTCGGACAACTGCGCAACTGCGGAATGACGACTCAATTGGCCATAGCCTATGGTCTTCTTTGTGGGTCGTGGCCCTCCGTGGCCTTCTCGCAGACCATGGTCCTCTCGTAGGGAACGCGGGTCAAGTGTCGATTCAGTTGATCGTTGGCCGTGATAGCCTTCTTGTGGCTCTTGGCTCCGTTTTGGTCTTCCCGTGGCGGTGATGGTCGAGTTTCGATGCGGTGGTTCGTGGCCCAATGGCGAGTTCGAATGCCTTGGCCCTCCTATACAGGGTTCGCGTGGAACTTCGACTCGGTTGCTCGTGGCCCTCTCGTGGATCGTAGCCCCATGTGGTGGCCCCCTTGTTAAGAGTGATTGTGGGGGTTCGGCTCAGTTTCTCGCGGCCCGTGGCAGCCTCGCAGTCCTACGTCTAGAGGCCCCCATCGCGATTTTGCGGTGAGGTGGGCGGTCAATTTTCGGTTCGGTTGCTCGTTGTGCGCGCCCTCTCGTGGCTCGTGGTCCCCTCGTGCCCCCCTCGGGGGGGGTGAGAGTCATCGAGTTGGGTGTCCTTCAACCGTCGATTGGAGGCTCGCGGCACGTGGCCCTCTCGTGGCTCGTTGCCCCCTCATCCTCTTGTGTCTCCTGGCCTCCGTAGTCCCTCTGGTTCAAGCAGCTCGACCCAGCCCAGGCTGTGGGAGCCCGCGTTTCTCCGTGCGCGGCTCCCGCAGGCCCTTAGCCGCGGCAGCTTGCGATGGCCGTGGTCCTCAAGATCCGCCTGGCCGGGGAGATCCTCCGGGTCCGCCTGGCCTCCGCCGAGCTCGGAGACGCCCGCAGGGCGGTCAGCAGTGTTGTTTGCGGTGGTGCGCGGGCCTTCATGGAGGGTCTGGGCGCGAGCATGCGAGGAGAGTTTGATACACTCGACGAGGACTCTTGGCGGCGTGTGCTCGGCGCGGCCACCAGAGAAGCTGGAGGCGAGCTCCCGCCGGTTGTGCGCCTCCGAGTGGAGGCCCCGGAGCCAGGCGCGGCGCATGCGCAGCCGGACCTGCCAATGGGGCCGAGTTCGCCGCCCGCGGCACTGGCGCCCGAGCCGCCCCGACCGAGGCCCGTGCCGTCGGCGGCGCTGGCCGCCTCTGGCGTGCCACCGCACCCCCCCGCCGGCAGCGCGGCTCCGTTGCCGGGCAGCGGCGAGGGCACGCCGCCCTCACCATGGACGACGCCCCCGCCGCCGCCACGGGGGCCGCCAGCGGGGCCGCTCCCCCCGCCGCGTGGGCCTCTGCACCCGCTGGATCCACGGCCGCCCGCAGAGGGCCTCCCGCCGCAGGTGACAGCCGCGCCAGTGGCGTCGGCCGTGCCGCCTTCTGCAGAACCAGAGCCGCCACAGGAGCGCCAGCAGGTCGAGCTGTACCCCCAGCAAGCCACCCAGGCCCGCCGGCATCTCCACCATCAGCGTCACCAGCAGGCAGCCCAGCTCCACCAGCAGGCCCACCAGCAGGCAGCCCAGCTCCACCAGCAGGCAGCCCAGCTCCACCGGCAAGCCCACCAGCAGGCCGCCCAGCACCATCAGCAGGCAGCCCAGCTCAACCGGCAAGCCCACCAGCAGGCCGTCCAACTCCACCAGCAGGCCATCCAGTTCCACCAGCACGTCCACGAGCAGGCCGCCCAGCTCCACCAGCAAGCCCACCAGCAGGCTGCTCAGCTCCACCAGCAGGCCCACCGTGCCCACCATCACGCGCACCGCCACGCTCACCAGCGCGTCCACCAGCAGAACGACGAGGAAGCTCCTTGGCAGGCCCACATGGCTGCGCACTTCGGCCAGCAG